GATTTGACACTCTCACCACCACAGTCCAGGTTTAAATTTTTAAATAAAGGAATAAGCTCAACTACATGGAGAGATGTACAGTGTTCCCGAGGGGAACGACTGTGGATTATGATGGTGTCACTCCGTAAATGCAGTTTATCAGCAAATGCGCAATCCCACTGAAACTCTGCTGGACTTTCAAAATCAGAATTTGAGGGCCGGGCACGGTGGCTCATACGTGTAATCGCAGCAACTGGGAGGTCGAGGTGGGCAGATCACCTGACGTCAGAAGTTCAAGACTAGCCTGGCCAACATGGCAAACCTGTTTCTACTAAAAATACAAAAGTTAGCCAGGCACGGTGGCGGGCATCGGTAATCCCAATACTTCGGGAAGGCCGAGGCGGGTGCGTAACGAGGTTAAGAGTTGGAGAACAACCTGACAAACATGGTGAAACTCTGAATCTACTAAAAATACAAAAATTAGCCAGGCATAGTTGCAGGCACCTGTAATCACAGTTACTCGGGAGGCTGAGGCAGGAGAATCTCTTCAACGAGCAAGGCAGAGGTTATAGTGAGCCAAGACTGCACCACTGCACTGCAGCCTGGGTGACAGAGCTAGACTCTGTCTCAGAGAAAAACAAGAATTTGAAAAACCGATGGTAAAGCTCATGAAATAAAAAGCAAAGACTTTAAATGAGAAAAATCTTCCAAGCTATCAAAAAATACCATAAAGCTACAGTAATTAAAATAGCATTAAAAAATGGCACCAAGAAAAGATCAATAAATCATAAGAAACCTCAGAAACGATAGCAATCTCCTCATGTGCACATACAGTGTGCACGTAACTGGGTTCTCTAGGTGTGTACTTGCAGGTGCACACACACATATGCAGGTGCATGCACACATGCTCACATACACATACATGCAATCATGTATGCACACATGCATGCACAAGCACAGGTGTGCCAGCACACATACGCCACATATGCATGCACACATACATGCGCACACACACAACCATGCATACACACAGGGACATGTACACACACTCGCACACATGCATATAATCACACATGTGCACACACGCAGGCTTTTTTCCAAGCATATGTTTTTCTGCATCCTGTTTTTTGGAAATACTTTCGTACATGTTTTTTGTACAAACTATGTACAAACATGGACTGCCTCGTGATGCCCTCTGCCCAGCCTGCTGCTCTGCTTCACAGGGCACCACCTTCCCTGATGTGAGCTCTGCTTGATGTTGCAGGTGCTTTCTCCCCACCGGTCACTATTTTTAACTTTCCCTGTGGCGTCCTTTTCCACACAAAGACCTTCCTGTTTTATATGGGCAAATCCATTCATCTATTCTGGCTTCTGCTGAATGTCTTGCTCAGGAAACCTTAGCTAAGATGTGCTTGGAGCTGGTACACAATAGAAGGGGGTCATTCACATTGAAGGTCTTCAAGACAACATCGCGACAGGGTGGAAGAGGGCAGGTTGAGGCCATGAGGACAGTCAAGATACCTGGTGTTAATGAGGGCAAGCGCTCAGCGCCCAGAGCTGACTACATGATGGGAGACAAAGTGGAAAGGGACCTGGATATCTGCTGTCCAACATCATCTCCCGCAGACCATTTGTTACCATTGTGAGTCTCATCAGGGCCTTCACAACCGAACAAGGCTCAAGGTAAGGCGTCTCCCAATCACAGACACGTGAAGCAGCAGTAACCAAATCCTGCTGAACAGTAGACATACAGAAATGAAGCTGCTCAGCCCGGCCGAGAGGCTCACGCCTATAATCCCAGCTACTCTAAAGCTTGAAGTGGAACAATCACTTGAGGCCAAGAGTTCAAGACCAGCCTGGGCAATATAACAAGACCCCATCTCTAAAAAAAGAAAGAAAAAAATTTTTAAGCCGGACACAGTGGCTCACACCTCTAATCTCAGCACCTTGGGAGGCAGAGGCAGGCAGATCACGAGGTCAGCAGTACAAGACCAGCCTGGTCAACATGGTGAAACCCCATCTCTACTAAAAATACAAAAATGAGACGGGTGTGGTGGCATGTGCCTGTAATCCCAGCCACTTGGGAGACTGAGGCAGGAGAACTGCTTGAACCCGGGAGGCAGAGGTTGCAGTGACCCAAGATCGTGCCACTGCACTCCATCCTGGGGGACAGAGCAAGACTCCATCTCTTCAAAAAAAATTTAGTCAGGCGCAGTGGTGCAACACCTGTAATCCCGGCTACCCAGGAAGCTCAGGGAGGAAGACCACTTGAGACCAGGAGTCTGAGCCTGCATTAAGGTGTGATCACACCACTGTACTCCAGCCAGGGCAACAGTAAAACTCTGTCTCTTTAAGAAGGAAGGAGAGAGAGACAGAGTGAAAAGAGAGAAAGAGAGGAAGGAGGAGAGAGAGGAAAAAAAAAAAAAAAAAAAAAAAAAAGGAGAGAAAGGAGACAGAGACAAGAAAGGCCAGAAAGAAAAAGAAAGAGGCCGGGTGCGGTGGCTCGAACCTGAAATCTGAGCAATTTGGGAGGCCGAGGTGGTCAGATCACCTGAGGTCAGGAGTTTGAGACTAGCCTGGTCAACAGGGTGAAACCCAGTCTCTACTAAATAAATAGGTAACAAAAGTAAAAAAAGAGAAAGAGAAAGAAAAGGAAAGAAAAAGAGAGAGAGGAAGAGAAGGAAGGGAGAAGGGGGGAGGGGGGGAGGGGGAGGATTAATTAATTTAGGGGCACAGCCTCAATTTCCTGACCTCCAAATCTGTACTCAGAACAGGCTGTGTCTCCTCAGACTCACACTTCACACGCCCCTCCAGGACCAAGGGTGACCTGCGGACCCACCAGTCACACCATGGCTGCCAAGGCAAACATCTCAAAGCAATGCTTTGCCAGGTCTCTGTTCATCACCCCCACAGGTCTCCCTTGCTAATGACTACTTAGGCCCAGCAGAACCAGAAATCATCACCAGAGACAGTTACCTCCACAAACTGATTCTGGCAAAAAGAAGACAGTGAAGGACATAATTCCCCTGTAATTAAAACAAATCTCCTGTTTTAATTGTTCTAATTACAACAAGCAAGCATTCAAGTAACAAGATGTCTGTTTATCAGATAATCCTGACCCCGGGCAGCTGCCTGGATGTCCTGTGTGTGCCCAAGCCAACAGCGTGGGATGCAGCTGGAGCTGCACACGAGGGAAGGGGCTCCCACCCGCGGCTACCTGCCCAAGATAGGAGCCAGGGCCACTCCCAAAGTGACCAGGCACCTACCGTGTACCCCATCTCCCTTGGAAATGCTATTTAAAATGCCATTTACAAAAATTAATCAGGCTGGGAGTGGTGGCTCACGCCTATAATCCCGTTACTTTGGGAGGGTGAAGTGGACGGATCACAAGGTCAGGAGTTCAAGATCAGCCTGGCCAAATATGGTGAAACCCCATCTCCAGTAAAAAAATACAAAAAAATATTAGCTGGCCTGGTGGTGTTTGCCTGTACTCCCAGCTACCTGGGAGGCTGAGGCAGAAGAATTGCTTGAACCCAGGAGGCAGAGGTTGCAGTGAGCCAAGATCACACCACTGCACTCCAGCCTAGGAGACAGAGCAATACTTCGTCACACACATACGCACGCACGCACACACAGACACACACGCAAGCACGCGCGCACACACACACACAAACACAAAACGATTTGCCAGATGTGAACAAGCACATCAGTCCCAAGTGGACTGTGAAAGGGAGAGTTACAAAAAGCAAGAGACGACAACCATCTGCTGAGTGCAAATACCTCAAGTACGTGCGTTTCAAGACACACAAACCCATTTTCAGCATCAAAGTCATTTCCCGATTGCTGTGCCTACGAAAATTATGAACCTTTTACAAAGCAAGCACGAGAAAGGGGACTGGAAAGCCAGGGGACACAGTAACCCACCCACACCACAGCACCTTCCGGGTCCTGCTGTAAGGCTACGGTCACGCTCTCCTCCAGCACGTGGGCCCAGGGCAGCGCATCTACCTGCACCCTCTGTGCAATGTGGACTCTTCGTCCGACTGGTTAACACTCCCGGCCTCGAGCCAGGCACAGCAGTGGAGTCAGCAGAACAGGCCCCAACACCCCAACAAGGCTCACCGTGACATAACAAAGCTGGGGCTCCAGCGAGCACCCCGTCCTCCAGCCAAAGCCCCAGATGCGGAGAAGGCCTGTGTGCAGCGGCCTGCCTCCCGGGAAAGGGACTTCTGCTCTGCCACTTTAATGGCAGGATATGGTGCCAGTAAGGGTGGGTCGCAGCCATGGCAATCAGGCCAAGCCACACCTAGAGAGACACTAACAACTCTACTTCGGTCTGGCATTTCACCAGGCTTCTTCTCTTCAAAAACTGATAAGCAAACACACCGTCTGACTCTACACAGAGACAGACACACAGCTCCTGACTAACAGGAGACACCCGTGGTAAATGTGCATCAGAAACCCCGGCAGCAACATTCCCAACCAAGGGAAAACGAACAGAGGCAGAGCGGGTTCACTGAAGAGAAATGTCAACGTCCTACCTGCCTCTGGCCAACTCCACCGTTTCTACACCAACTCCACACAGAAACAGCACGCCCTTTTAGTAAACGACACGTATGGATGGGGATCAGCTCCCCTTCCAGCAAGCAGGGTACCTACATCTGCCTCCAAGGGTGTACATGAAGGCCACAGGAGGAGGACAGTAACACGGCCAGTGAGAGGCTGGTGGCGGATGACAGGAAGAACCTGGAGAACAAGCCCAAGGCACAGCTGACCCAGCCAATCCTGGCAGTGCTGTCACCAAAGCCAGGCAGCTGGTGCCCTCCACACCTGGGCCAGGCTTCCCTGTGAAGGGTCCAGAGAAAACGTGGTCTCCCAGGTCCCAGCGAGACTGGGCTCCTGGACCGTGGCCCAGGATCCTCCCCGCCCTGGTATTCTGAGGTCTGCTCCCAGCACTTGGGCTCAGCACTCAGGCTCAGAGGAACCATGCCTGGAGCTCAGTTTCTCATCCGGCTTCTTACTTGACTTGTTCCCAGGTCTTGGTGGCCAAATGCAGTACCCAGAGATCCTTGTAGTGGTAGAACTGCTCTCCGTTGGGAGAGGCAAACTCCCCTCCAAAGACCCACAGCTGTCCGCCACCTTGAGGCACCATCACCGCCTGTGAAAAGAAAGGAGACAGGTCAGGCACAGCCACATAGCAGCAGGGCCCGCTCCACGGATGACCAGAAATGCTGAGTGCGTGAGTACCACACGACTGTCTCAGCTGACCTCCAAAGTGACCGGCCCACACTCAGCCACTGTTCTCTCCTGCCCACCTAGGCTGCACAATAAACATCCATTTAAACGTAGACAATGCCATATCCCGTAAGTAGACACAGCTAGTTACTTCCAACATGAACAACAGCATGGTACAACTTAGCAGTCTTATTTTTTTACTATCTGTAATAAAGCTGTCCACCTACTCTCGTTCATCCCTTTCCTACCTCTTAAGTGCTAACTAAACTTACCCTCCACAAGTACAATGTGCACGTGAAAGAAAGTGTTCATGGGCCGGGTGAGGTGGCTCATACCTGTAATCCCAGCACTTTGGAGGGCCAAGGTGGGAGATCAGGAGGTCAGGAGTTTGAGACCAGCCTGGCCAAGATGGTGAAACACCATCTCTACTAAAAATACAAAAAAATTAGCCAGGTGAGGTGGTATGTGCCTATAGTCCCAGCTACTCAGGAGGCTGAGGAAGAAGAATCCCTTGAACCTGAGAGGCAGAGGTAGCAGTGAACCAAGATCACACCACTGTACTGCAGCCTGGGCAACGGAGAAAGACTTCATCTCAGAAAAAAAAAAAAAAGGTTTATGTAACTTTTTCCTGGATCTTGCTCTGTTACCCAGGCTGGAGTGCAGTGGTGTAATCATCATTCACTTCAGCTTTGACCTCTTGGATCCCAGTGATCCTCCCATCTCAGCCTCCTGAGTAGCTGGGGCTACAGGCAAGCGACACCATGCCCAGCTAAGTGTTTTCTTTTTTGTAGAGGTGGGTCTGTGTTGTCCAGGCTGGTCTCAAACTCCTGGCTTTAGTCAGTCCTCCTGCCTCAGCCTCCCAAGGTGCGCTGGGATTACACACGAGCCACTGCACCCAGCCTTATGCCACATTATTAATGCTTATTAGAGGCTTCAGCACCACAGTAAAGATGAAGGAGCGCAGTGGGAGTAATGCCCTCTGGGCCACACATGGAAGGGCACTCTGGCTGTCCTCAAAGCAGCACAGTATGCTGAGGAAAGAACAGAGGCACTAATCAAAAACAAGGGCATCCCTGAGGTCTCAGACACCACTAGTTACTCCACATCAGGCCCTCCGTGGCCCACTCCCTCTCAGGACCCCAAGAGCTGCAGGCAGCAGAGTCTTTAGGGAACGGCAGGCATCCCCTGTGGAAAGAGCTGTCTGGACAGACTGCTGGACTATGAGCAGTGGCGGAGGCCACCAGGCTCCACAGGGTCTTTGCGCCAAACCTGCAAATTAAGAGGCAGCTGGGTCCAGGAAGCAAGCGGCTCTTCCCAACTTGGGAACGGCACGTTTCTCAGCATTCCGTGTTAGTAACCACGGCGGAGGGGAACCCTCGGTGCCGCACTTGCACAGGTGCGAGCCGCCCACGCTGCCCAGAGCCACAGAGCCCAGCTGCGAGTGACTGTAATGCCCCAGTGGTATAATTAAAAGAGAAAAAGCAACCTGAGCACCCTGGCAGCAGGTGAAGCCCCATTCTGCAACTGAATGGTGTTTATTTCAGACTCTTAAAAGCCTGTTTTATTTCCTCGTTTCGAGGTAAGAGTAAGGACCTGACAGGATGAAGAATGCCTCTAAACAGGGCGCAGAGAGGGCTGGCAAACCAGAGTGCCAACCGTCCAAGTCAAGTGCACCCCGGGCAGGGCAGACAGTGGTTCTCAGCAGGCTTCCTCCTGGCACCTCTGAGTCAGTGCTCCGCCCACCCGCACTTGCAAACGGCCGCAGGGCCGCCCCTCTGCACTGATGCTGTTCCTTCTCAGGCCCAACAGAGGATACAGGTGGTGGCAGCACACCAACGGTGGCGTGTCCCTCTCCACCCCACCCACTTCCAGTCATTCTTTGCATGTTATCTCAGCACTGATGACTGACCTATAAAGAGACAAGCCAGGTTCTCTATCATTCTAAAAGCCCAGTAGTTCCAACAGGAGAAACTGACCATTTTACATCTTCAGAGCGGACATGATGACTGGCTCAAGGCCCAAACCTAACAAATGTTTTGAGTCGAAAGGAGGTTAGGTGGCGCAACCATGCCTCACGGTACAGTAGTTTTAAAATACCATCTCATGGAAGAGTATTCAATGCCACAGAACAATCCTACAACAATACATCAATGGCAAAGAACACCAAACACCACATACACGCACACTCCAGTGAGCAGGAAATACAGACACATAGAAACTGACCATTTTACCTCTTTACAGCAGACATGATGACCGACTCCAGTGCCTGAAACACGCCAGAGAGCCGTGACTCCCGAATCCAGAGCCTCAAACACACCAGGGAGCCCTGACCCCCGACTCCAGAGCCTGAAAAACGCCATGGATCCCTGAGCCCCGACTCCAGAGCCTCAAACACACCAGGGAGCCCTAACCCCCGACTCAAGCACCTGAAACACACCAGGGAGCCCTGACCCCCGACTCCAGAGCCTGAAACACACCAGGGAGCCGTGACCCCCGACTCAAGCGCCTGAAACACACCAGGGGGCCCTGACCCCCGACTCAAGCGCCTGAAACACGCCAGGGG